TGGCAATGATTAACACAACAACGCAACATGGGAATGGCAATGATTAATTTATCTGAAGCAACCTTTACAAAATTAGTGTCAAACAAGCAAACGGATGTCATGTCAACCGGAACTCGAACACCACAGCAGAGAGTATTTTATGCAGCTAATGAATTTCGCAAACTTTGCTGGAAGAGAGATTATTGAATTTTAGAAAAAAGGCGGGATAATTCAATTAAGGGTGGTGGCAGAACTGCAATCTTGATTCTCTATTGCGATTCGTGCTATGATAACCTACGTAACAATTTTCATATGATAGTTATAATTTTTGCACATTCAAAGTACGCATGACATAACATAACGCACCCAGATTTGGAAACCATAATTGCTCAAATGAAGCAAAAATAAACCACAGACCATTGACTTATCTTGCAAAGATATATATTCATATTTTGTATCACATAGCATAATTACGCTCTGTAATTATGCCATATTGACCTAATTTGTATAGTCCATTTACGCTCATTGTTATTAGGTATTGATCGTGTCAATTTTGCCGGCCGGGAGGATGTCGGTAATGTAATCCCAACATTGCCATTGGCATGCAGGATTGTACTGTTGACGTACAGATTCATACCCTACTTGCCACAACCAGTCCAGTCATTCATTAGAAGGCACCGATGGCTCATCTAAAGCCATGTTGCCTTCTTTAGTTCTGTAATTCATGTCCGATTGAATTGTGATCTATAAATGAATATTCATTACTGTGCTGACTCTTAGAACCTGAGTCCTGAGTTGACGCATTAGCAATCTAGGCAACTCGTATCCAACCACAACACAATGCGGATACACGTTTGTGTGTACGGTCAGTTTGATTACGTAATTTGCGTTGCCGCGCGTCTATATTTAAAGTATTTTAGCTTTCTAAAAGTACGGCGCACGGCGCATTTTATTACGGTGTTGCCAGGAGGCTTTTGTGGCTTGTGTAGCACAGCCTATCTGTGCTTATTTATCCTTTTTATTTGCCTCCAACCTTGCTTCTACCTCACCTCAATGTCTTTGTCCTCTTCTGTTTCAGTCTCTGTTACAGATATTCATTTATTTATAAAGCTGAGCCAAATGAATGACACTTAGCTGTGTAACAGAGCGGTCTGACAGTCCTGACCACTTGTGCTTAGCCATGCTGGTTAGTGAATGTTTACCCTTGTATATATATATGTTTTGTCTGTATTTTAATTAACTTGTGTGTTCTGTAAATAAGGCATAGGTTCTTGATTTATTATGATTCTTTGATTCATTGCAATAACTACTGCATTTTCTCATGATTCCTATTTTAAACAAATAGTCAACTATACTTAATAGTCTGTTATTGCATTGTCAACCGTGTTCACCTTGCAAACCCTTTTGGTTCTTTGGTTTTACTTAACTTGGTTTGATTCCATTTAATTATGACTATATCCCTTGCTTGCTTTGTTAAGGTTAACTGATAAGTCCCTTGCCGTTACTTTACCTTGCAATGCTTGATTACTAATTAATCATTTCAATCACAGCTTCTTAAATTATACATCCTTTGCTATTTTATTAATTTCATTTATTTTTTACAGCTGGCATGGTAATGTCAAGTCCACATTAACCCGGCCTGTGCTCTTCCCTTATTAGTGATTTTTGGATTTTATTTTTGCCTACCGCAAATCTTAAATTTCAGTAATTTTGTAAATATGTGAAGAATTTGTTCATTTGATATTGTTCCTAATAAAATTTAAAACCTTAAAGCTTTCAAACCTTAAATTTAGACAAGAATTAGCGCTTCCACAAATATTTATTCATTCTTGTTGTCATGGCCCTTCCTGTTATAAGAGGGGATAAATTGCAACTCGCGGTGCGCTGAGATTCACACAATAACAACGGCATAGTACGGCGCACCGTGCAGGTCATTAAAATGACAATATAAATTCCCATGCACCTGGCACATCTTCCTGACCATGGCACTTACTGAGTTTTTTTAGAAGCCATTTGACTACACAGTTTGCGCAATATAATCTAAAATGATTATATTTGTTCAGGTCTGTGTAAATTCTGGACATTGATTCCACACTGCGAAAAGCAAATGGTTCTAAATAGCAATTTTGTATTGTTGTTAAACTGCTAGGGTAAATGCGGTATATTCCGACACATTGAGGACGCATCGAGAAATGAAAAACTATAAAAAACCGAATGCGTAACTCGAGTTCTGTTTGCTTTATGTGACTCAAAACACCGCACGACGCACCAGCAATGATGAAACGTCACAAAATGTTGCCATATTTATTTAAAAGCCTTTAGAATGCAAACCTACCAAATCCCTATATTCCGACACTGTGTATGACTATATTTGGCACGTGGTGAGACGTATTCCGACCGCCCTTCAAATTGTACTAATACGTAATTCCAACATCCACGTGTTTGAATTCTGATCGCTGTGTGAGCTGTATTGGAATACGACACGGCTTTGAATTAGAACACTATTGAATATTGAGCACTACTAATTAGGCTTAATTAACAGTTATTAATTAATTATTAAGCTTTTAACTAAGAAAATTTTAATTTTTGCACACAGCTTGGAACGAGCTGTGTGTGTCCAATTCAAGTTATGTCGGAATTAGTTTATATGTGTCTAAATCCATTTCTCAACTTAATCATCTATTAATTTATTTACCACTTGAAATCAGCAAATACAAGTATACTTGAAGGATTCCTAATATATTCACAGACGTATTTAAAAGTCTCAAACCATAATATTCTTTCTACACAGTTTATCACTATTTGGTAGAGCAAGGTCAACTGTCAACTTTGACACATTTTTCGATGATCTCATTGGGTGGCATGCACCGTCTCTCTTTGGATCTCAACATTTTCCCGCTAGATGGCCCAGACCTAGTGTTTTGGCAGTAGTTTGACGCGCAAATGTATGACGTCACTATTTCAACCATCAACAAACGCATGGAACTAAAACAAAGCTTAATATCAAGGAAAAACTACTGAGGTGTCGGAATTACCCACAATGTCGGAATATACCGCGTTTACCCTAGTTCTTGCTCTGATGTCACACTTGCAGGGGTGGAGGCTTTGGTGGTTGAGAGGGAGGTACTGGAACTCTGGAAGAGAGGGAATTTGATCAAAGGCAGGGAGCCTGAGGCTGAGGGAGGGTGGCCAGGAATGCTGCTGCCTCCACATGGCTGTCACACTGTTAGTGGCACTCCTAAGTCCTAACCTTCTAGTTCCAAAGGTCTGGTATGGGCAATATAGTATCTTTATTGGCTTTGTCACCCAGGGAACTTGTAAAACAACCTAACAGCAGGAAAAATCAAACACAAGACCAATCAACCAGATTATACATTATTTACAGATGAATTATATATATGATGATGAGGGGTTAGTTTAATGGGTGGTACCAGTACATACCGTCAAATGGGGTACTAAATACTAATGGGGAACAGGTGGGGTAAATTGGGACATTCATCCCACATAGAAATGTAATAGCAGCTAAACTAATCAAAATATTGCAAAACTAAAAATAGTGGCATAAAGTTCAACATTTTTACTATCTATGTAGAATATTTAAAGCAAGTTAAAAAATCATACATACAGTGGGGGGAAATAAATATTGGTACACTTGAAAAATCGTATTTTAATGTATGTAAGTACACAAACTTAACAGGAAAAGTGATTTAAATTATGTATAGAGACGCATAGTATTCAAAAATACTATCAAAAGAAATTAAATCTCAATGCAACANATTTTGGGAAAGAACCTCTGCTAAGGTCCGTAGCAAAAAAAAAATGTATATATATGCCATATCCAAAAATTTTACTTACATAAAGTTTCACACAGGTGTTGGCTTAAAAATATGATTGATGGAATTAGCAGATCTCATTCCAAAAAATATAACTCGGTACTCACTGCAGTGAGTGACAGAGAGCGCATTTTCTCATGGACAAAAACATGAAGTCACGGATGGACAGACAGACGGACAGACATGGTGTGCAGAATAGTGGATTTTTTCCATAAATGAGAATATGCGCTAAAAAGAATGGCAGCCATTACTGCAAGACGGGATAATAAGGGACACCTCCCGGGGTAATAAGGTACCTACACCCCTAAAAACGCATTTACAGTAGAACTTTGATTAGCAAAGGCTCCAGTTAACTAAAAAATCAATTAACAATAAAAATTTTTAATTATATTTACCTCGCTCAGTGAAAAAAAATATCACCTAACAAAAAAGTAATGTATCATTGGTCATCACAACATTGTGCAGAGATGTCATAGATAGAATTGTGCACTGGGCAACATAGAATGAAAAGTAATTAACCTAAACTGTGATTTATTTATCCAAAAAATATGATGGTGGTCAGTTTGTCATGAGCATATTCCTTTCTGTTTCAGGTATGTTTTATGATATTTTTTTGTTATAGTGAATTCACTTAACCCAATTAAAATGGTGTGAAATTACAAGCTGTCCTGTAAGCTTACAGATACAGAAAAGTGCTATACGGCTGCTGATATGAAGATTGCAGTGGACGTGGCCATTGTAAATGCTCAATGGCATGTCCATGGATACGGTAATATCAGCAATAATATGGTAATTTATGGATATGGTGATATCATATCAATGAAGGAAAAACAAGTAAAAATCAACAAAAAATTTCATTTATTCTACATAATCTACAAAAGAAAATGAGGACTTCAGATTACTGTTAGTAATGGATTAGTACACTTTGCTTGCTTCAAACTTTTTAAAATTGAGTTTAATTTCAAGTGTCTAGGATTACCCTGTTTTCAGTGGTTTTTTGAGTCGCTTTTATTTTGCATCTGGCACCTTACCAAAAAGCCAATGTAATTTTTTTGAAGATGCCATAATAGCCCTCCCAAAGGGCTTTAAAATGAGCCCAAACTTGTTCCTGAAATGTTTGATGGTGAGAAGTTATTAATGAAAAATGCTTAAAACTGTCCCTTATTACCCCATTTGACGGTAGGTCCTTTCAATGTGTGTTCCAGATTACATCTCTCAATCTTCATGTAGGTACCGGTATCTGTTCTCTTTTAACAGCCACTGATTTGATAGTGAACAAATTAATGTTTGAAAAGGTTGTAACAGAATGTCCTCATCTAATTCTGCTCCAAGAAAACGCCGGAGAGTTATGACAAAACAAGTTCTGGTTAAGAATCCTAAAAATGCCATGAATACAGTTTTTACTGATGGAAAATCTATAAAGCCAACCTCAAAATCTCCATGCAGCCGATGTAATTCAAGGAGAAAATGCTTCAGACATCTGAATCAGAGGTGTGTTATGAATCGGAGTTGAACTAGGTATTATTTATGAGAAGCCAAAGGAACTTTGCTTAGGCTGGCTTTATTGCCAACTATTACTATGTTGAATAATTGAACAATCTAAGCTTATGTATTCTTTGTTGTGGGTTCAAAACTATTGCGAATTTTTGTATTGAATAATTTGAGAAATAAATGAGTTGTAATTATTTTAATAGTTCTCATTATAGGCTTATAATGAGTGTGAATAAAGTCTACTGAGTTATTATGTTTATATGTATGCTCAAAATTTGAATGTAATATACCAGTATTGAAGTTGATAATTTGGTATTGAAATCCTAATTTTAAGTTAAAAATCCATGTCTCAAGGTCTTTTTAATGAAAGTAGGTAATATCTATTAGACTTTACTAATTGCTGGATTATGTTTATAATGTCTCAAAGATGAAATTAAAGCTGTAATAATGAAATTACATTCTTTTCATATTTAGGAGAATACTAGGTATTATTTTTTAATAAAAAACTTATAAACTGCTTATTTTTTATCCATGTCAATACTTGTGAATAATCCTAATAAATTATTTTCCCAGATTCACCAAGAACATTGCCTGTTTCTCCTTCAAAGCGTCCGAGCAAACTGTGCTACAACTCAAGAGGCACATGCTCAAGCTGCTGTCAGGGGACCCGGGCGCGGTGTGCAGGTGTGATCAGCGCACTGGCATCCTTACCTTGGACTGCACCAAAATGCACAGGCTCTATCTGCAGGAGTTTGAACCTCAAGCAATTAATATGGCCACAGGTATACCAGAAAATTTTTGTGACGAATTAGTACCTGTCAAGTTGAGATAGTATCCATTTATTTGCAAATTTTCATTTATGAATTTTTAAATTTTATTTATTTTTCTCTTCTGATTAGTATTGGGCCGCCTGATTACAACCTTTTTCTGGTACTAGTAAATTTTAGCTGATGTGCTGAAATTGTATCTTTGGTTGCATCTTACTGCAAAATATTCATTAATGTTATGCCTCAACAGGTGAAATGAACAGCAATTACAAGCCTCTGGTGAAACAGTGGCTGTACAGGAAAATCTTACTGGATGAGTTCCAGGGTGTAGACTTCCTGAGATGTAAAGAGCATTTAGCTGAGCTCAAGCTTTCTCTTGAGGAATCCACATTGTCCAAGGTTTTTCCTCCAGCCATCAACAAGAAGAAGAAAACTAAGAGCAAGTCACAGAAACAGGTATTTAAGTGTTGTTCCATTAACATTTTTGCCCTGTTAATAATTAGTACAGATGTTTATAGTTGAATTATAATTCTGTGGTGCAGCTGTTTTACAGAAATCTGTGAAAATAATTGAGCTACTACAGAAATTCTGATTAGGAATTCAAAAACGCTGCCTAAAGCTCTTTAGTTGGTGCATGACTGGTGGCCATTAGCTTTAATTTTCTGTGACTTTACTCCTTGCATTGAGCTATTTCATCTTACTTATTGTCGCATGAAAAGTTAAGTATTTTTATTTCAGAAGCATTGCTATCCAAGTTGGATTATAATTATTTCAACATGACATATGAACACATTTCAAAGTATTGTAGCTCAAGAATATCAATGAACACATGTTCATGTTTTCAGGTGGCTACCAACCCACTCCAGGGAATGGCGGAGGAATCGTTTTGTGCTTCACAAAACCTGCCAATTCAACAGCAGTTGTGTGCCCCACAAATTTTATCCCATCAGATGTGCGTTCGACAATCTCCAATCCATGCACAAGTTTGTGGCGATCAGTCGTTGAATGCACAGCAAGCTGCCGGGGCCGGGACGGCTGCTGACGAAGGCTTGACGCATGTACGCGATAAGACCGTAGTCGCCGTACAGCCGTTCTGCCACTCTTCTCTTGGTAGCACAAATTCACGACCACAGCAACCGCTCAACTTACAACGATCTCAAACTCATTTACAACATCGTGTTCCTGATAACTCGTGCAATACTAATATTAGTGATCATCCAGCTCACAACTCCCTAGCTTTACCTTTGTGTCAGTCCATTTCAAGTTGTGGAAGCATACCTCTAGGGCTACACAGTCCTTACTACGTCTCTCTGTCCCCCATGTTACCTCTTCACATGAGCCAAGCTTCCAGTGCGCCACATCATCATTTTCATCACCACATCGCCCATCACCATTCCTCGTACCCCCCACCACCTCCTCCTCCTGTCCACCATCAGCAGCACTTCCAGCAAGAAGTGGTCCAGCATCCCCAGCCTTTCATGCCCGCAGCTAGTGCGTCTCTTGTTAACAATCACGCTCTTTATCACTCACCTTCTTAGGCCATCTTTATTTTGCATACTCGAACCTCCGCAGCTACGTTTTATACTATCGGCAATAACGATGTTTCTCATCAATTTCGTTTGTAATTATTGTAAGATTAAGATGCCTTGTGCCAAGAAAGCTTCAAATCTGCATACTCATGTGCCATATATACTCGACCTCGCTGTTCATCACAAATTAATTGGATTTTGTTCTTTGATACCGGTAGTGATGAAAATTTATCTTCTTATTTCTAAAAAAATTGTCATAAAGACAATTAAAATGACGATTTATGATATAGTTCACTTATTGTTGTTGAGGTAGAATCTCAAGTATGCTCTCTCCCCTTTTTTATTGAAAATTTATGAGTTTGATTGTAAAAAATCAGTCTTTAGTTTCTTTTTATCGGTGTTACTGGGACCTGCCCCAGGTTCTCAGTTGGCTAATGGCTCAATCCACCTACGACGTTATAACCTAAATATTCATATTCTTCGTGTGGATGATGCATTAAAACGAACACTTGATATAGGTAAACGTAGCCAGAGCTACGATATTAAGACCCAGACTCCTGTTCAGAAATAACCGAAATTCAATAGAAGACATGGGCATGTAGTGTTTAAAATATATACGACAATTATATTCAATAATTGATGTTAATTAACCCAATAATTTGCGCTGTGTAATTCGCACAACTCCAATAGTATCATAAATAAAATTGGAATAAACATTGAATCATCTCGCATAAATTCGCAGATCTTGCCAATGTGGATACTCGGGCACTGTTGAAACTGTAAAGAATTGATACATTGGACACATAAATTGAACTTTCATTAGATCCTAGAAAATAACATAGAATGAAGTTTGATATGCTGTCGTTCCATTAAAAATATATCCTTCATTACCTTAAAATCAATTGTTATGTACACATCGAATTTTGTTCTGTACGTAATACTGCTCATGTTGTGTGTAACATTCCTGTTGTTCCTCTCAAGAAGGGTAGGCTATACACGATCGAGGGTATTCTCCTACTGTCGGATCACACTCAGCTGGGCTTCGGTATCCCTCATAAGGCTGAGATGACTTGACAATAAAACGTCTCATGTAAGCAGTTGCTTTTGCCGATTAATAATACTCGGCAAATTGCTAAAACTGGGGATACTAAATTATCGACTTTTCCTAATCAAGTATATAAGAATGTGGGAATATTATGAACAACAATCGACTAAGACTCCTGTTCTACCAGTAGCATTTCTTTTCACAAATCACGCAGGTGATGGCGGTAGGTTCAATCACTTTGCATTCGTTCAGTATTTGCACGCGGTTGTATTGCGATCATTTCTCGGCACACGAACAAGAGGAGAACACTTATTTCCACTGTATCTCTGCCATGGAAAAAAATTATCAACATCTGATCTCGCAGCAACCTGTACCTCTCCCTCGTGAGTTCTAAATAATTTTATTTTTTTTTTTTTGTAAGCGGAAAGTAGCAAACTGAGTCCTCGGAATTGTGAGGCGAAAACTGAGCTTCGTAAACCGCACTTGTGTAATATTTGATATTAATTCAAGTACAAAGATGGCAGGCGAGGGCGATTTATTACTAGCTGTTTGCCTCCCCCTAAAAAATATTCAACAATTCATTCATTAATTGGCATTTCTAGCCGTATTTTCTCATAAGCCGATACTCGTTAGTGCAAAGCCTTGAACTAAGAATCGTCGGACAATTTTCAGAGCGTATTTGTCGGAAGTAGCTTAATTGCTTTTCGTTGTCATGTCATTGTCGAATCTATTACGCTGCATTATTAGTTTTTATCTGGTTAATTTCAAATGAAGTGTCACAACAAATACATTTCTGAAGTGGCTGCCAAGCCCTGCATGTTTTGTAAGAAAGACGTACCTTTTCTTCGATTTTCAAAATAGTTTAAAGAGATTGGGGCTGGAATTTCAATAAATTTAGGAGAGCAGGCGATGAGTGCAGCAGGACTGCTGTTGTAACTAGTACTATTCATCTTTTCACTTTATGGGATTTCGTTACTCGTGATGTTTTCTCAAATTAAGTAATCCATGCAATATACCTAGTGAAGCTTTTAACGAGCGTGCATAATAATAGTAAAATCGAGTATTGTTTAGTTCCATACTTTGGCCTTACATTTTTAATTATGTTGAATAAATTGAAAATTTTATCAATACAATGCTTCTGAATGTTAATCTTTATGTATTATTATTGAATATGCTAAAATCCATTCTCAATTCATATAAAAAGATATTCTTCATTAGTATGTACGGCCGTCTCGGGTACGCAGCCGTGCACCACCAAATTTGTGCACCAATCAGCCTTGAAAGGAACGCCTAGCATATTTCCGGATGACCACCAATCAGCCGCGGATTAAGCCAACCGTCGGTAACCAGCCCGTGACATCATCTTGCTTTAAATATTAGGAGCTTTACGCCACCATATTCTGAAGCGAATAGCCCAGAGAGTACTGGTTATGCATCACTGAACGTTGCATCGAATCATCACTTCATACCCTGACTTTAGCTCGAATTGTAACTTGCGGACATTGGACTGCGACCAACCAGCCCAGGTCGCCAGTGGAACTGCGTGCATCCTGCCGTGCACCACCAGACCGTCACTTTTAGCTCACAGCATTGGGGTTAGGTTTCAAAAAGCATAGTTCTGTTCCAAAATCTATCGTCCTTCGACGAGCGACTTCTACAGCATCGCTAAATTACGTAACTTTTAGCTCACAGCATCTGGGGTTAGGTTCCAGATAGCATAGTCTGTTCCAAAATTTATCGTCGTACGACGCGTGGGCGTTCGACCGTGGGCTGATTCGACACACGGGACAGATACGGACGGTTCCGGCGCGCTCCGTCCGGGTGGTGTAAATTTTTTTCGCGTGTTGGCAGACGACGCTGGGCCATACGACGCCAGGCTTATTTTCCTGTGGGCTGATTGATCTAATTCAAGGGATGTGATCTGTCTGGTGGCGTGCGGCTGATAACGTTCAAGTCAAGATGTGTTGTAGGCTACGTTCTTCAGGGAAGGGATCATGATAGTCCATCCGAAGCACGGCAGTGGTGGTCTCCGACAGGCGTCCCGCCGTCTCTAGTTTATATATACAGTTGTGTGCAATGCGCATCAGCGTACATTGTTACGACGTCCCGCAATTACAATCCTAATTTATAAAGAGAAAGAGAAAAGGTGCGCATCTTCCCCATTCTGACCGAGCGGTGCCACGTCGCTGTGTACGTTAGGGACGTGGCTAATATTTAAACTTTTTCTTCCGCTGTTGCCGACAGAACATTTTAAAGCTAGAGCCTACTTTTAAAGCAACTTCTCGTTCTAATCAACTTTGAATTGTAAATAAATAGGTTTGTCTGCTTGCGATTATCTCCTCTAGCCTATAATCTTTCACTTCAGGTTTTATTTTCTTCTCTGTAAATTTTGGCTGTGCTAGTAGATTTTCCTTTTGTTGTATAGTTTTCGTACTGACGATGGACCTTGTCATGTAAACCTTTTCAATGAAAATGCGATGAATTTTTATGAAATTTTTACCCTTCAAATTATTCTGAGAGACTTTTTGATTGTGTCAACCAAAGAAGATACCACGCATATTTTACTATTACACTATGGTAAAAATGGGTGCTTTGTTAAGGTTAAATTGTCCCAAGAATGATATTGTTATCTTCTTTGGGGTGGGAGGGAGCGACCAAGCCGTCTTTTGACGTCGGATTTTTCATGATGGGTAAATCCACGCGATGTCTCATGAGTTACTGACTTTTGAATGTCATAAACGCTGTCAGCATCATTTTCTTATAAGTCATGGCAGAAAATGCTCCAGTCTAACGAATTTTCATCCGAACGGTATACTCTTCAAACTTGGCCGACTTGCAAACCGAAACTACGATTTGGCCATTTATTTTCCATGCTAAATACCTTTGATGTCCGCCAAGACGCTACAAATCGTGATGATCTAACTTACGACGCGTGATGTGCGTTGTACTGATCTGCGACGGCAGCCATTTGCAGCGGGCCGCCACGGCAGGCGGATTAGTACAGCGAACTGATGCAAGAAAATGTATCAGTACGCACTGCAGTGAGTGACAGAGAGCGCATTTTCTCGTTGCCGAGTATCATGGATACTCGGCAACGTGACGTCACAGACAGACGGACGGACATGACTAGCACAATATCGCCTTTTTTTCGTATATGAGAACATGCTCTAAAAAAGGCTATGCTGCTTGAAGGTGTTGAGCAGTCGTTGGCGATGCTTATACTTCAAGTTTAATTAGTTAGTTAGTTTATTTACCACATGTTTACTAGCGCTTCAGCTATGTAATTACCTCTCACCGAAAGTCAAGATTAACATCACCGACAAGGTGGGAAGTCTCAATTATTGAAAGTTTCTTGAATCGAAAAATCGTTCATCGCCCACAAGGGCGGAAGGTCTCAGTTGTCCAGCCCGCTGAAGCTGGCTCGAAAGAAGCAGCGTTAGCATCTCAAAGAGGCGAAGTGACAAGGAGGGACAGGTGACAAGCAACAGAAACCGAAGCAATCGAACAAGAGGTCGCTCACACCGGCCGTCGGCCGCCCGCACGAGAGAAACAAAGAAGGGAAATGAAATATAAGGAATCCTACCTACATTATAACTTAACCCAACTACTGAAACCCGCGGTCAGTACTCGCAGAGCGCCCCACCGCGAGCTAAGCGGTGGGGCGCTCAGAAACAATCTCCCTAGGAGCGCGAAATTCCATAGGACTTCTGACGAGTACAGATACGCGTTAGAAGACCCCATTGAGGAGGCTTAAACTTCAACAAATCGCTGTTCCTCTAATCACTAGCGCGTGATTTCAAAATCCTCTGTACAGACTCGAGGTTCGCACTTTTTTTCGAGTGAGTTTACTCGTTTGCGTGTGTTCCTGGTTTACACGAGACCGTCTGGAAAAGCAGCAGCAATACAAGACTGATGTTTTCTGGCTACCCTTCTAGTGTGGTTGGCAGTACCAACGTAGATTGATCAAGTATAGATGAATCAAGCGTAGTTGGCCCCCAGGTGTGTATGGTACCTGCTACTCTCTTCCTAGTATGGACGTTTTCTTTTCGCGGTCTCCACCCTGGCGTCGCCATTCCAGCGGCGTGGCCTCCTCCCTGGTGTGGTTCCCTTCCAATTTGGTCTGTCTCTTGGTGTGGTCCCCTCCCTAACATGGTCTGCTTCCTGGTACAGTCCTTCCTGACGTGATCTACCTCCTGGTGTGGTCCTCTCCCTAACCTGTTCTGCCTACGGGAGGTGCTCCCCTCCCTAACGTGGTCTGCTTCCCGGTATAGTCCTCCCTAAACTGTGTGTTCTCCGAGCATTGTATTTTTAATTTCCAATTCTGTTTTGAATAGAATTTTAACTTCAACTCCACTCAAGTCAATTCAGTGTTAAACTTGTGTTTTCCTCCATGCATTGTACGATAGCTGGACAGAGAAAAAAAAAGGTAGTCGAAAAGCCCTCTAGTTCTACTAGACCAAATGCTAAAATCAAATCAGCTAAGTCAGAGATGAAAGTTTGCAAATACTGCAAAGAGATCTCTGTGAGCGAGGCAGATCAGACAGTCATCTGTGACGCTGCGAAGACTTCATTTGTATCAGCTGTTCGAAGTTGAGCTCTGACGAATACTTGTTTCACCAGAAAACTAAATTACTTCAATGATTTCTTTCGTGACGGCGAAGAATCAACTATTGGTATTCGAAAAAGCGAAAAACCGGTGGAAGAGCAAGGCAATGATCGAGACGAAATCGTTGAATGATGTAGTAAACGCCTTGAATGAGATGGTGCGCTCGCTGAGTGAAAATTTGAGCTCGCTTTGCAATGAGCTGACTGAAGTGAAGGCTCAGCTGAAAAATGCGGAAAATTTTGAGGTCAAGACTCAGAGAGCTGATTTATCCGAAGTTGCTAGTGAAAGCTCACGCGAGTTACTGGACAGAGAACGTAGGAAATCCAACTTGGTTTGGTTTGGAGTTCCCGAGAGTTCCGCATCTGATACGAAGGACCGCGTGATGGCTGATACGGAATTTATTGAAGAATGTTGTAGCAAGGCACTCAGCTCACCGGTTGATATTAAATCGTGCAAGAGGCTACGCTCGATGGACGCTGCTGCCAACACATGTAGACCTATGTTGGTGACTGTAAAGGATCCTGCACAGGTTGGAAGCGTGCTGAAGGCAGCAAGAAAGCTTGGAGAATCTTTTGAGTACAACTCCGTTTTTGTAAAGGATTTCACCCCTTTAGAGAGAGGATTTTCGCAAGAAATGGCAGGAGATAATCAGGCGGAAAAGCACGGAAAATCAGGTCAACCACTTTCGCAATGTCAAGACAACACCGGCCGCACAAGATCAGTTAGCGGAGCTGGAAGACAAGTTAACAGTAGAAGTCATGTCGGCAGTTCCAGACCTGTAAGTAGTGTAAGAAGCAACCGCATAAATCA